CTGGAGGCAGCTGTGTCCAGCATGGTGAGGACTGCTGCCCCTTTAGTCTATGCCCACTTTATGAAGTGTCACTGAATCTTCAGCTCTTATGTGGCCAAATTGAATCAAACCACTGTCTCTCAAATTGGCAAAATCAAAATCTGAAGCAAATGCTTGCTGCTTTGTACAGGCCTAGTTGACAGCCGTTATAAAATAGTTCCAAGACTACAATTTATCTGAAACTGGGAGGACCTGGATAATAAAATCACCACAGTGTCCATTGTGCCATAAGGCTCAGCCTTCTCCCACCAGCTGAAATATAGACTTCATACCTGATGTAGTGATCCACAGAGCTGCCTTTCAAACAGCATCTCTCGCAGAGTGTTAATAGTTGCTATGAAGAGACATTTACATGTCAGGCTGCAAGCTATCAAAAGCTAAGTTGTACTCTGATCCTTTTTAAAACTGGTTTTGGCCCGCTAGGGGAATAGCCACTTTATCATTGCTATTTATATCTGCATTTTTTTTTTAAATTGAGGCAAGATTTTTCAAGTGCTTATTCCATTATGCAGGAGACATTGTAAAATTCCTTACACTTTAAAAAAAGAATAAAAGAACAAAGGAAGAAGAGAGATAAAACAGACATGTATTCTTTAACTGTGTTGAATTTTAACAGCACATGCAATAAAAGGAATCCTTTTTGGAGACATGCACGCACTTCTTATTTCAAATCTCGTTTAGGTTTTCCTAGTTCTATTTACTAGGAAATAGTAGTAAACCAACCAAACCAACTTAGACCAACCAGTCTAAGACCACTGACTTTGAAGAACACTTCTAGACCACTGACTGAACAGAGCATGGCCAGACTCTACAATACCAAACATGCAACTGAAGGATGACATGTAAAAAGAATAAGTTATTTTGGTTTGTGCCTCACCACCAGTATGATTCCAGAAATAAAAAGCTACCACACTGCACTGCTAGTGATTCCACTGAGGGTGCACAGGCCAAAGCAGGATCCAGACCTCAAAATTATCATCGGTTCTTTTATATATACACATATACACACACTTCTACGTTACACTGTATATTAAGACTAATAAAACAAAAGTCCATGTACAAAATTGACTGTGCACATCTCACTCGCATCAAATTACCCCTACTTCAGCAAACAGATCTGTGGAGTCTGGCACAATACTCCTAACACTGCTGCCATCAGTGGCTTTGTTTGCAGGGGTAATGCACAGCAGGAGCTGGTGGCAGAATCTGGTCTGAAGCAGCAACAGAACTGCTGACCACACAGGAGTCAGGAGTTTTGGGCACCTTTTTCTTGGAGTCTCAGACCAGCAGAGACTCCCTAAGCCTGAAGACAGGTGAAGGTGCCCAAAAGCTTGCCAAGACCTTTTTTCCAACTACTCAGTTGGTCTTATAAAAGATATCACATCTACCCATAGAGCCCCGCCTGCCTTTTCTACACTTGCTTCTTAGTGACGTTATGGAGAGAGACATTGGGTAATTGGCTTTTGAGAGTGAACATCTCACCTCAAAAGATTTCCCAAATCACCTTAGCTGCTTTAATTAGTACATCTTTGCTAGCTTAATTGCTGTCAGCTGTAGCTCTATCCCTTCATTACCAGGAGGAATACTCTGGTCTCACATATCACAAAAGGTCTAGCAGAAGTACAAGGGAAAGGAAATATTTCCACAGATATGCCGCTTCCATGCAGCTAAAACCACAATTAGAAAAGAATCAGAAGCCTGAAAAAAAAGCAGCATACGTACTTGGGGTATTCATTACAATTCCAAGCTTGCAGCAAATATGCTCATCCTCAGATAGTCTATCATCCTGGTGCATAGTGTTCAGGCACCACCTCTTCACTTTGTCTTCAGAGCATGCCGCTGCCTCAGTGGTGTAATCTTTTCAGAAGGAAGCTTTGATACCAGAATAGTCTAACTCCGCAATTTAGAATGCATTCCTCCCTCAGGTTCCCTTTATGGCACATTTTAATACATGCTACCATGGGGAAAACACCCAGGGCTGTATTCTCCACTGGTGTAAGCCTGCATAACTTCTCTGAAGCCAGTGTAGTCAAATATGCCCTCTCTACTAGTCCACATCAACTAGAATTAAACAGATCTGACCACTTTAAAGATGATACCCAAAAACGTTTTTGACATGAAGTAAATGCCAAATGAATACTAAGGAAATCTATATAGTCAGTTCAGGAGGGCTTTTATTTAAAAAAGTAGCCATTCCTTGGCTGAAGCAGCTGGTTTGACAGCACATGGCAATCCCATACAGTAAGAATGAAGGAGGAAAACAATCTATAGTACAACATGTGTGAAATGGGACAAGGAGTTTAAAACTCACCCAAGATGAAGGTAGGGGCTATCTAGACATGAAGACCAGCATTTCAGTTAAATTACTGCTTAATACTCAGCACCGACTCAGAGGGAAGTGACAGCAGTCAAGTAACCCAGTGCCACAGTACCCTAGGATTTTCCTTAGAGGTTTGTCCAGATGACCAGTCTAAGACCCTGCTTAGCTGAAGTTTTATCTGGGGAACTGCACATTCTGGTGTGGCTACAGGGCTCTCCCAGAGCACAGCAACACAACAAATTCACCATCTGTACTGCGATCTCACTCGACTCCTCCCTGGTCTCAACTGCAGCAAACTAGCTAGCACTGAAGTGAATAGTGACATACATGGTGTCATTCAAGTACTTACTTTTCTGCTCCTTGTTTTTTTCCTGAAGCATCTGGCAAATGCTCATTAAAGATGTATTCATAGCCTGGAGATTCTTCTGCTCAGAAATGGCTTCCTCCAATTCACATTTCAAAGATTTGGCTTTTTCACAGGCAGAGTAGAGGGCCTCATCTCGATCCTTAGCCTGAGCCCAGAATAGCTTTTAAATGTTTTAAAATTAAACTTATAGGTGACATAAGAAGTCTCTACAGATCATGAAAATGAAAACTGAAATGCATCTGTTCTCTCAGGAAGTGTTAGGCTCCTACTGAACTTCTGCATTTTCACATTTGTGACGACTGTGTATGGGAGCTATTTTTGGTTGTTTTTTTTTTTTTTGTTGTTTTGTTTTAAGCCACCACAAAATATGCAATGTGCCTCTTTCATCAAACTGTTGACACCACCCCCTCTGCTTTTACTTCCTCCACACCAGTGACAGTTTTGCAATGAGGCAGTTCATGCTGATCATACAGTTTCCTTTCTGCTAGCCAAGAATGTAGCAGGCACTGCTTTCTGGGGCATAGAACATCCCATCACCACTCCCCTACCTGTTTGCAGGAATCTTCCACCTGTTTTCTAGCTTCTTGCAGTTGGAAGCTAAGGGTGTCTACTTGTCCAGCAGCTGCTTCTTGTAACTGCTTGACATTTTCTAGTTTGTGTTGCCTGCAGAAGAGCACAAGGGCAAACCACAAGCAGTTGCTGACATTTCAGAAAGTTAGTGTCTGGGTTGTGTGACACCAGTGATAGGGGCTAGGCACCATAGTAAAGCCATCAAAAAGGGTAACCCCTCAAAAAATCCTATAGGGCTTTGACTTTGACACAGAAAGCAGATATTTTCTATGCTAGCCCTGCAAATTGCTTCTGCGATGCTCCTAGACACCAGAGTCAACACAAGTACTACAGAATTCAACTGCACTAGACATAAGGGGGAAGGTCAGTGAGCATCTGAAGAGCTTTGCACCAATACCAAAGCAATGCTAAAAATGTGCAAAAACAGATTTTTGTTTTTAGAAAAAGAGTAGGATTCATAGAATTCTGTCCGCCACCTCCAAAATCCCAGCATATTAGCAGTGTTAGCAACCATTACAGATACACAGCTTTAACAAGTCAACTATGCAGTGCAGTGCAATGTTTCAATGAAAAACAGCCAGGCAGCACTACACAAGCTTATATGCAGACTTTGACTCCCTCGGGCAACTGGGAGGCCAGTCTAGGGGGGAAGAGGAGTCCAGGAAAACTGGTTGCATTTTAAAGCAACCTTACTGAGAACATAGGAACAAGCCATCCTAAAGTGCAGGAAGAATAGCAAGTGTGGCAGGTGACCAGCTTGGCTTAGTAGAGAACTCTCCTTAAAAATTTAAACACAGAAAAGGAAGCTTATAAGAAGTGGAAACTTGGCCAAACAACTTGGGAGGAGTATAAGAATATTGCTCAGGCATGCAGGGGATGAAGTCTGGAAGGCCAAAGTGCAATTGGAGTTGCAGCTAGCAAGGGACATAAAAGGGTAATAAGAAAGGTTTCTACAAGTATATTAACAACAAAAAGGAGGAAGGCCAGGGAAAGTGTGGGTCTCTTACTAAATGGGGAAGGCAACCTAGTGGCAGATAATGAGGAAAAAGGCTGTAGTACTCAATGCCTTTTTCACCTTGGTCTTTACAGGCAAGGTCAACTCTTAGACTACTGCACCAGGCAACACAGTTTGGGGAGAAGGTAAGCAGCCCTCAGCAGTAAAAGAACAGGTTAGAGACTATTTAGAAAAGCTGGATATGTGTCCAGATGTGTCCAGTCCATGGGGCCAGATGTAAGGCATCTGAGGGTGCTGAGGGGGTTGGCGATGTGATTGCAGAGCAGCTGGCCATAATCTTTAAAAACTTGGGGGTGATCGGGGAGGTCCCAGACAATTGGAAAAGGACAAATATAGTGCCCATCTTTAAGAAAAGGCAAGGAAGATTCAGGGAACTACAGCCTCACTTCAGTCCCTGGAAAAATCATGGAACAAGTCCTCAAAGAATCCATTTCTAAGCACTTGGAGAAGGCAATTAGGAACAGCCAGCATGGATTCACCAAAAAAGCTTTGACATGAAGTAAATGCCAAATGAATACTAAGGAAAATTGATAGAGTCAGTTCAGGAGGGCTTTTATATGAAAAAAACGACCAAAAGAGACAACACTACATTTATGCAAAACAAAGCCTCTATTAAAAAGTAGCCATCCCTCAGCTGGTTTGACAGCACATAGCAATCCCATACGTGCCTGAGCAACCTGATTGCCTTCTATGATGAGGTAACTGGCTCTGTGAATGCAGCAAAAGCAGTGGACATAATATACCTTGACTTTAGCAAGGCTTTCAATAGCATTTCCCACAGCATTCTTTCAAGCAAGTTGAGAAAGCATGGGTTGGATGAATGGACTGTAAGGTGGATAGAAAGCTGGCTGGATTGTCAGGCTTGATGGGTAGTAATCAATAGATCAATGTCTAGCTAGCAACCACTATCAAGTGGAGTGTCCCCAGGGTCAGACTTGGGACTGGTTTTGTTCAATATCTTCATTAACAATCTGGAAGATGGGATGGATTTCACCCTTAGCAAATTCACAGATGACATCAAGCTGGGGGCATGTAGTAGATACACTAGAGGGTAGGGCTAGGATTCAGAGCGACCTAAATAGCACTGGGCCAAAAGAAATCTCATGAGGTTCTACAAGGATGAGTGCAAAGTCCTGTAGTTAGGACAAAAGAATCCCATGCATCACTACAGCCTGGAGACTGACTGGCTAGACAGCAGGTCTGTAAACAATGGCCTGGGGGGTTACAGTGGACAATAGAATGGATGAGTCAGTAGTGTGCCAATCCACCCAAGAAGGTGAACAACATGCTGGGCAGCATTAGTAGGAGCATTGCAAGCAGACGGAGAAAAGTAATTATTCTACTCTATTCTGCACTGGTGAGCCCACATCTGGAGTACCATGTCCAGTTTTGCACCCCCCCCCCCACTATAGAAAGGTTGTGGACAAGTTAGAGAGAGTCCAGTGGAGAGCAACAAAAGTGGTTCAAGGGCTGGGGTACACAACTACTGAGGACAGGCTGAGAGAACTCTCCTTATTTACTCTAGAGAAAAAGACAGAGGGGATTTAATAGCAGCCTTCAACTATTTGAAAGAGTGGTTCCAAAGAGGATGGAGCTAGACAGTTCTCAGTGGTAAGAAGTGAAAGAACAAGAAGCCATGGTCTCAAGTTGCAGTACGGGAGGTTTAGGTAGGATATTAGGGGGAAAAACAAAAAACACACACTAGGAGGGTGGTAAAGTAGGTTACCCAGAGAGATGGTAGAATCTCCATCCTTGGAGGTTAAAGCCTGGCTTGTGAAAGCCCTGGCTGGTATGATCAAGTTGGGGCCATTCCTGCTTTGAGCAGGGGGTTAGACTAGATTACCTCCTGCAATCCCTTCCAACCTTAGGTTTCTATGATTTTGTGCGCTAAAAGATGGTGGTGGCACACCAATCCCTAAAGACTGACTTTTTTGTCCAGCTCTTTTGCAATGCAAAAGTAGTCTAGATGCAGCTACCTGTGTCTCCTCACCATCACACCTTCAGTGATGGCAGCAATCACCAATGTTTGTGTAGGTCCACCTCCCCATATTTTACCAAAAAGTACCCCCAGCTGGGGCTAGGAGGCAGCAGTAACATCAGGAGCAGGTGACCAAGATTAGTTCTACTAACACAGCTAGAGTAAATGGTGGGAAGTGAGCAGGCCAAGATGCCACTCCTGCTTAGTGCCAGCAGACAACTCTAGAGGAGCTGATCTAGGTGGTATAGGCAGAAGCAAATCCAGAGGCGGTACAGCCATATAGTTTCACCTCCCTTTTCAACAGCACTAAATGACAGTAGCCTCTGGGGACTTTTTTTTTTTTTTTTTTAAAGTCCCAAAAGTACATAAGAATCCTCCCTTCTTCTCCATGGAGAAAGGCACACCCTAATCCAATCTCTACGTAACCTGGCTGGAGCAGGCAAGAATGGCTTTGAAGCTTCTCCCCTCCCCTGGAACAGAATGGAAAGCAGCAGCAGCAGCAGCAGCCGCCACAGATGGGGGAAGAGGGAGAGGAGATGGACCTTTGAGTATGGAGGAGGAAGCCATTTTACATACTTCATGGCCTATGAAAGTCTCCAGAGGCTCCAGCAGTATGGTTTGTCCACACTGGCTGTGGGGGGAGGGAGGGAGGCAGGAGGCTTCAGTGAAAGTGGCTACTCTCATACCCCACTTTGCCATACCCTGGATCCATCCCTGGGCATAGCCCATATTTTGACAGGAAAGTGCACGTTGAGGAGCATATAGTAAATATATATAGCACTACCAACTCCTGCCAAAGCCTATAGTCAAAATCCAAGTGTGGGCATGCCCACGTGAAACACTGTCGCCATAGCGATGAGCTACAGAGATGTAGCATCAGCAGGCACCAACCGTGAGGCCATCACTACTGCGCAGTAGGGTCGAAAATGACTTGTGTGCCACCAGGACTGCGCAGCTACTGGGACCTGCCAGTGGGTGATGCACAGTCATTTAGTACTTGCTAAAGCAGGTACAAACTACGCAGTCAGAGGCATGTGTAGATACACCCTGTTTAAACTGGAGTTCACTCAAACTCTTTGGTCAGAACTTTGCACAGGTGCCTGGAAGCCCAATGCAATAGTCCCATCTACATACCTTTTAATTCTGTATTTATGTATATATTGCAAATACATCTAGTTAAGGAAAAGACTCATATTAGACAGTCCTGCTTCTCCAAAAATAACTTATTCAGGGAGCTCAATTCTTTCCTAACCATTGAGGAACCAAGACAAGGTGTCATTCTCAGCCAATCAGTTTTATAAGGATCAGTTTCCAATAAGAAAGAATGTTTTCATTTGTCTACTTTGCAGACAAACCAACTGCTTGTTTAGTGGTTGCACCTGTGAAATGCGCAGCTCGTTTCTTTACATTTTATTCTGTGGTCTGGTTTTAAAGAGCTGCCAGAAATTGGTCTGCTTATTGTATAGAGATTCCAGCTCACGTAGAATGCACTAGATAACCAAACTGATCAGAAGCATGCACCATTTGTTTTCTGAAAACATTAACATTCATCAAGTATCTTGTTTGCATTCGGAAGTGGGGGGAATAAGAAAGAAGAGGTACCTTGAAGCCAGTTCCTTCCTTAAATGAAATTGTTCTGTCCTTGTTCTCCTCAAATTTCCTGACATCTTAATAAACTCTTTATCCAGGGATTCTGTGCGTTTTTTCAAGAAATCAAGTTTTTGACACCAGACCTTTCTCCTTTCTTCTAGCTTTTGCTTAAGAACCTATGAATTTTTTTAAAATTAAGTATCATTTGAGATACAGGAGTTAAGCATAAAAAGTTAAACATAAAAAGAGTTAAACATAAAAACCCCTACAAGCTAGGGTTCTGTAAAGACTGTAGTCAACAGACTACCAAACAAGCTGACAAGAAGGATGGAATTCACAGGACATCAAAATTTAATTCTACTCTCAAATTCTAAAAAGAAGAGGAGAAAAGAGATTAGGACAAGGTAAAACAGCATGTTCAGTAGAGCTAACTAAGTTCATAAAATTGCTTTTCAGAGGAAATGAAAAAGGTTCCTTTCAAAGTCTTCAACAAACATGAAGATGTGTTTTGAATGAGGATATTTGACCCATTACAAATATACATGCATCCCCACCACTTTTTTTTTTTTGCCACTGGAATGTGTTGCAGGGAAGAGAAAAATCCCAAGCTACTAAATTTATTTTGGAAGACAAAAAACACCGATTCAAATTAAAAAAATGCTTATTTTGTTGAAATGTTGTTACAAAACTATTATAAGTACTTTTCACAATTTTTCATTTGCCCTAAGAACACCGATTGATGCAGGACTTCCAGATATTTCAGAATAAGTAGTCATGCAGTATTCTGCAAACAGATTTATGGATTTTTAATGCAAATCTTATGTGATAAGATGGGCAAAGAGTGAGGCTGCATCTTAAAAAATGAAAAAAAAAGTTAAATTTAGGTTACAGAAATTGAATTTGAGGTACAATTCATATGAATTTATGCACAATAAAGTACACATTTCACTATGCTATTGTACCATTGTTTATTTTCTGTGACTTGTGTGGTCAACATAGCAGGGTCTTCTAGCTGGCTGCAATCTCTCTCTCAGAACAAGCTCCTGGTGAGAATGTACTGCAGAGTAACAGTTGGCAGAACGCCAGGCCTGGCAATACCTGAACATATTTTAAAGCCATTGTCTGCTCTGCAATTCCACTTATGTTAAAAGTTTGTGGCTGATGACTAATGATGCCAGTTTACATAGGCAAACAGCTGAAGTTGTGTGTGTTGCTTTGAGATTACCCCAAATTCCCTTTTCACTAGTAATTAATTTTAGCGTGCGCCTACATACACATGTAGTTCCTAATTCCAATAACATGCAACACTGGTGTTCTACCTAGTTGCCCACAACTATACTTCCACGTGCAAGTGTTCAAGCCATAGAGTTGCTAATTTTATACTCTTTGAGCATCCAGCTCACATTTGAACTCTGGGAAGAGATTGGTGTCTCTGGATCTTCCAAAAATGCTGAGCTACAGTGCCCCAGCTTAGACTGAGAAAGTTGCATCTTCTTCCCAACCATGCCTGCAGTGCTTGAGCTGAGTAGAACTGCTGTAGGTTGGCCATACCTGCGCTACTATATGCTACCAGCAGAAAGCAAGAAATACAAGGGTACTCGCTCTACTAGCTTGTATCTATACATGCAGTGGAAGTCATTACCATTTAATATTATATTGCTGCCATCTCTTACACCTTGTTAATACTAAAAAAAGTTACCTATCGTACAAGTTTTTACCAATGGTTTATTAATGTTATACAGCAGGAACTACAGCTCTAGTACACCTATACCATTGTCAACAGCAAGCCATTTTCTTAGTATAAGCTAGGCACAAACTGCAAGGCCTACATTAAACTACAGTGGCATAGTCAGCAGGAGGTATGCCACTCACTGATGAGTTAGGAAGTAGTTTACAGGCAAGAAGTTTCACCACAGTAGGACAAAGATTTAAAACAGTGTTTGGAGAAAGTGTTAAAGGAAGTGACATCTAGGTCCTTATATAGTGAGGGACAAAATAGGCGTAAGCCAAAAAGAATATGCATACCAAAGCTACCCAGGTTTTACACTGGAAAACCCCCATAACATTATCAATTCTGTCCTTAAGACATCACTGAGAACTCAAAATACCCACCCTAAGATTTCTTGCCCATTTCAAGGAAACCATGGCTTTAAAAACACAAGGTCCTCCCCCCACTAAAACCAAGGTCACTTACCACAAGCTCTCTCCCCCAGGTTTCCCTCATGTTCACCTCAGGATCTGGTACCCACTGAAAAGAGGTCACCACAAGTTCCTCAGTTTCAGAGGCTTCCTCCTGCTGCAAGAACAGTTTCAAAAGGCTCTTGGCTAAAAGATTCAATACATCTCTTTCTAGTCACTTAAGTTAAAGCACATACCAGTTTTTGGATAGTAGCCTTAAATTCTTCTCTCATTATCTCAGGCCCTTGCAGTAACAATAGTACCTCTCGGTCCAGCGATTCATCCAAAGGTGTCCATTCAAACCTGGTGATCTTTATCAAAAAAGCCCACTAAGTTTATTCTGATCTCTTTTGAAGAATGCAGACCCCATAACCAGCAGCATTTAGAACTTACAAAAGCATCCCTAGGTTGTGTTCCCCTTCATGTCAGAGCACCTGGGAATTTGAATTTTAAAGTGCATCATGCTCTGATTGTGGTAGAGTTCTGTGTCCTACCCTGATATCAAATAGCAATAATGGATAAGCTGTTATTTGTCTTGACCCAGAGAAAGCAACATGAAGTCAGGATGAAGAGAAGCCCTTTATTTTGCAGTGCTTTGAGTAGGACTTCATTACTGGCTACAGTACTTAAGATTTTTCCTTGTGTCAGGCAATTCTCTAGCAACTCATTAGAATGAGGTACGTATGCAAACTTCTGCAGAGGAAATCCTTGCATTCTCCCCATTAGATTTTTAAAAAGCTACCCAGGCAATTATTTTTCATGGCTTCAGTGTCTTCTCCATAGAAAAGACAACAATATCTCCTCAACTAGTAATGAATTCTCTCTCTGCAGCAGATTGGTTCAAACTTTAATTGCATACCTCTGGAGACTGAGCAAGTTCTAACTCAGAGTGCAAGGAATCTGTCCCTTCAAGAAGGTTCCTGTTATATTTGCATATTAGTTGGAAGTGTATGCCATTTCTAAAAGGAAAAAAAAGAGCAAAATTTTGTATTAATAAGGAGCTAGACAACCTATTTTTCGATGAAAAACCCTCCTGAAACTTCTACGAGATACTCACGAAATCAGCTCTTGTTGCATTTGTTGCATGCTATACACCAGTTTATTTTTTTCTGCCCGTAAAGTCTAGAATTACATTTTTTTAAAAATGAACAAGTTAGTTGCTATATATAACAACAACATAAAAAAAAAAAAAAGCTGTTCTTTCACCCTTGCACAAGGGAGATCTGTTATCATACCTCTATTATTGAAGTGTATTCCACAATGGCAGATTTAAGATCTTTGATATCCAAATCTTTCTGCAAAAGGATTGGGGTTGGAAGAGGTAGAGTTGGTGGCACAGAACCCAATGATTAACAAGTTAAACAAGCCGCAGGGACCCAGCTTGGGGTGGGGAGCACTGGGCCCCTGCGCAGCTCAGGCGGGGGGGAGGGAAATCAGGCTCGCCACTTTTCTTGGGTGGAGCCTGCTTTGCCAGGCTGCCTACAGGGCTTCCTGCAGAGCCCCCAAGCTGCATGGAACCCAGTGCTTCACTCCACAGGCAGCAAACAAACTCCTCAAAGGAATTTTAGTTGCTGTGCCCCAAGTCATTTAAGGCTCACTATGCCTCCAAATTTCCTACAGCAGCTGGAATTAATGTGTAATACGCTGCTGAGGCATGCAAACACTGACACCATTAAAGCAGTGCAAAAGCATTTAGCCCGCTTTAAGGTACTGTGTGCACATGCCTCTTGTCTACACACAGCCCAAGTTAGATTAATTTAAGTGTAAGGTGGGAAGACTACATTAGGTTGGGTGGCCATTTTTAATGCTATCTAATCTTCCTGAATGCCTGTATCTAGCATAGCTAGTCACATCCAGAGAGTAAGTAAGTGTAAGTGTATGCCCTTGACAGAATTCTGGTGCTCAAAATCTTTATTAGCCAAGCCAGGAGAAAAACAAACAACAACAAAAAAAACCCTCGACGCTTTGTTATTTGGCTTTCCTTGTACCTCATTTACAAATAGAGCTATAAACTAGAGCATAGACTGCTTGAAAGATAGCTCCAAAAAAGCAGAAGAAATTATGTTCTATTCTGGGCAAAGGACCAACTTGCCAGGTTTCAAACAATAAGGAACAGTCCACAAAAGTCATTGTTAATTAAATAAAAATCTCCCTCCGCCCTGCCAGAAAAAAATAAATGTTATCCTCATCCATGCTTTCCATCTGCTTCAGAGAACGGCTTCTGAAGTTTTTCCACTTTTCCTGGAGTCTGTAGTTTTTGTTGCACAGAGACAGCGTCTACTTATCCAGAGCCAGATCTCTACCCCTAAATTTTGGGCAGCAGTGTCCAGTTCCATTCACAGAGAACATTTATGGGGTAAGGTAATATTGCATAAAAATATTAACATCAAAAGTGTTACCAGAAGACTTGTTTCATTGGCTTTTCCCCATAAATTGAGCACCACATTTAAAAAGTTTCAATCTGTAACGTCTCAAAAGCAACCAACCTGGAGTAGACTTGCATCTTTATTCACCGCAGTAGTCTCATAAACATGTATTTGCATCTAAAGGGAGGAAAACATTTAAGTAGCCTCATGGGCCAGCAAAATTAAGTGCACTATATGACAGTCTGGTTCTCTTTAGCTCTATTTCTTGTTTGGAAATATCAGTTTCAAGCTTCAGAGATGAGCATCATTAATTTAATTCTTCCTAGTGTGCCACAAGGACACAAGTATCTTTGTAGGTCTTCCTGGACTATTATCAGTCCTTCAGTCTAAAAAGGCCATGTGGCAAAAGCCATGGGTTTTCAATGTTGATTTCTGGTCCTTAGTTGCAATAAGCATTAGAAATTAAATGACTCAGATTTCTAGGGTCAGAAGGGACCTTGTAGATCGAGTCTGATCCCTACTCTGGGCAGGAAAGAGTGCTGGGGTTAAATAACCCCAGCTAGGTGCCTGTCTAGTCTTTCCTTTAATGCCTCCAAGGTAGGGGAAAGCACCACCTCCCTTGGAAGCCCGTTCCATATTTTGGCAACCCTCATCATAAAGAATGTCTTCCTGATGTCCAATCTAAAATCTACTCTCCTTTACTTTGCAGCGGTTATTTCTAGTAACCCCTAGGGGCTCCCTGGTAAACAAAGTATCCCCTATTCCCTGTTGACCCCCCCCCCCCC